TTACAATTATTTTCAAATCCATGATCGTTCCTGAATTATAAATACAATTGATTATCTATAATTCAAAATATTGTCATATTCGTAATTATTATTGAAAAATCATTATTTATGGGATAATCATCAGAAAGAATGAGATACGTTGTTGTTTTCTTTATTAGAGTTTAGTCTAACATAACCTTATAAAACCGGTTTGTAAGGTACTAAATGTTACTCTATATAAATTATTTTAATGGTCTATTTCCAATCAACGTGAGATTTTTAGGATCTTTCTAACATTCTTAATGATGTCTATTTATAGGCATTTTATTCCAACAGTCGTATCCTATCTCAATAGTCATATCCCAAAAACTATAAAAAGAGACCAGAGGAATTTAAATTTTATTTTGAAATTCAAAATAAAAATTTCATTAACTTAATTATCCATCGATCTAAACCACCATCCTATTAAAATATATTTTATTTAAATCAAAATTTAATTTATATTAAATCATTAAAAAATGAATTAATAAATTTATCCTACATGGTGAACATACTATCATCCCTACCTGACATTAGAAGTGATGATAAACTTAAGTGATTTAACTGTGTAATTGGTTACACAAGAAGTTAGTTGGAAACCAAATCTTTAGATATGCAAAATCAATATATTAATGCACGAAAAGCAAACCTAATGAATAAGACCTACTTTAATTAGAAAAAAAAGACAAAAAATGGATATGTTTTGCCCTACTTTAATTTTTCTATTTTTATGTTTCATAACTTTTTATATAATATAAATATATTTAAAAACACAATAATTAAAAGACATTAAATTTTGATGTCCTAATTTCCGGTCTATAATATGGATTTTATTAGGAGATTAAAAAAATTATATATGGATGGATTCCTTTACAACATCTTTTTAACATAAGTTTGCTATGTTTCATGTATGATTACATTATACACAACTTTATAAAGTATTTATTGTAATTAACTCAAATGAACGCTTTTCATCATATTAGAACGCTTCCTTGAACATTAATTATCCATAATTTCTAACGTTTTGATATAAAGTATTATAGCAAGTATACTTATTTTCAAGTTCTGTAGAATACAAGTCCACTAAAATAACAACGTCATTCTCCACGAAGCCCGATGTGCTGGCTTTTATATATATATATATATATATATATATATATAAATATATATATATATATATATATATATATATATATATATATATATATATATATATATATATATATATATATATATATATATATATATATATATATTCTAGCCTGAAAAGTTGTGATAGTGTGTAAAGATTAGGCACATGGTTCATGTCATGATAGTAAAATAAAACACAAGAGACAAAATAAATTTCTTTTATTGAAAAACAAGACAGGAAATACTTTATTTCCATTTTAAGCTTTACTACTCCATCATACTACCTTTATCAATGGTTGTTTTCTCTGTTGATTGATCAAATCTACTCGAATTTTCATCTTCTGTAAACCAAAATGAAAATCATTTGATTTGCTGAACTAATTCTCAAAATCATACTTGGTTTTTCCTATGGCTCGACATTCTCCAATTTTAAATTAACTAAACCATTTCTTTCCATATTGATGACTCACCGTTAAGATAATTTATAGAAATAATTCTCATAATTTTAACAATAACCATTTAAAAGTAACAGACATAATTTTTATAAATTTATTATTACAGAAGTGATTTTAATACATGTGAGTATTACATGGTTCAAGTTTGCCTTTAAAAAAAACATGGTTTTGTTGATATCATGTGTTTTAAAGAAACTCATAACAACCGTAGTAAAGATGCTCTTGAATTGTCACCTAACAAAATAAAAAGGACAATATTAATATGTAAGTAAAAAATTGGCCTGTATAGGAGTGAAGTTTCTCAATTTTCACTCACTTTAACTCACTGTCAACTGCACACTCTTTTGATTTGATCGCATACATTTACTATTCTTCTTTGTATTTGGTGGGACTTAATTATCCAACATACCTTTGCATTAGATCATACAATTTGACCCAAAAAAAAAAAGAGAGAATAAGAATTTGCAAAGAAACTGAAAGAGTGTCGCAGGAACAATACTGTAGTGTGAGGGAAAACAATATTGTACTCCTTCTTTTTAAAACAATAGTGTGAAGGAAAGCAATATTTAATAGGATATTAGAAATATAATTTGCAATTATAGTGAAGGTAAATAGGGCTACACAGTCCCAACTTCATTTATTCAGTCTTAATTCTCTTTCATCCTTATCCACAATGACTTTCACATACAGACTCAAGTTAACACAAGAAGAAAAACAACATATGAAGTCTCAAATATCAGCTCCAGTAATCAAATCTTCCAAAGAAAAAACACACACGCAAACTTTAATTTTCCCAGTCTTGTTTTTTTTCCAATAATAATAACGTTCACTTTCTCACTTCATTTTTCCATTTTCTCTTCCACACCCAAATTCTTTTTATTCTTTATTATAGTTAAAAGCTTTTACCTTTTAGTACCTAGTTAGATTTGATTTCGGATGGTGGTACAAACATTGTAGAGGGAGTTAAGTGAATGAAAATCATGTGGTTGTTTTTCTCAATGTTTTGAAGTGGTGAGAATGGAGGGTCGTATGAAGTCATTTTAGAGAGAGACAAAATTTGGACTGAGAAATCACCAAAATAATAATCTTAAGCATAAAAAAAACAAGTCATATTAATAAACTTTTTTATTTAAGCGTACTCATTATAGGTACATTATGGATAATAATACATGATACAAACGGTTATTCTAGTTTCCATCAGTGGTGGTGGTAACTGCAGCAGGGGTTTCAGCGGAGGCGGCAACAGTAACTTCAGTGGCAGTGGTTGTGGCGCCAGGAGGAGGACATGGAGGATGATAACACGCGCAGTAGCGGACACATTGCGGAAGAGTGTTACCTCTTCCAGCAGCATCCAGCAGCATGAACATTGAAGCGATGATGAGAAAAGCAACAACTTTTGTCATGATTAATGGTGGTTTGAATGATTGAAATTGTTGGTGGTTTGAATGATGAGGAAGACATGGAGGGGGATATTTATAGCTCCTATTCAGCTAAACATCAACGTATGCATGTGTCTAATTACATTTCATCACGTGCTTTAGTTAACCACACCTAACTACATCAAACATTCTGATTTCTTGTAAAGACAAGAAGAAATTTATTTGTTTTATTTTTATAAAAAAAAATTGTCTCTTGGTTAACTACAAAGATATTTAATTTCTAATATTAAACTTTTTTTTATCAATATTAAGTACATTATAAGACATTCGATTTATCAAAAGTTTAAATAACTTTAAAATTTTCCACTTTCTTTTTTCATTGACGTCTATTAGTTTATCAACAATGTTATGTTGACACCAAAGGCTACACTACACCGTATGCACTGTTCACTAATATGGTGAACAGTACATGAACAGTGCAGAACAGTGTCAGAACAGTATTATGAACCGTGTTCGTGAATAGTTTTTTAAATTATGAAACAAAGTTGGTTAATGAAGTATAAAAAGTTGGTTAATGAAGGGATGAAATTGGTTAATAAACACGCAGAATTAAAAATAATTTTTACAGTAAATAAAGTTGTTTAATAATATATAAAATATTGGTTAATAAAATTATGAATTTGATTAATCACACAATTTCATATCAATATCATTTAATTTAAAATAAAAATAAATAATTTTTTATATTTTAAAAAAAATATTTAATTTTATAATATTTCACTGTTCACCATGGTGAAAAGTGAAATACGATGTAGGTGACAAAAGATGGTGTAAAAATATTATTTCTTATTAGTTTATATATTCTTGTTACCTGCTGAATAGTATATTGACACGCGTATATGGATTGTCCATTTATTCTTACACTAAGATATGTTAGTTTATCATTCATTATGAGATGTAATCACTCTATGTTTAAACACATAGTTTCAACAATAGTGTAAGTAATAATATATATACTTACAACTGCTTTTGTCATAGTGTAACAAACTCTTGTTCTTCTTGATTTTTTCATCTTTCTGTTATGATTAGTGATAATAAGGTGAGCTGGACCAATATGACTATTGAGGGAAAATGACAAATTATAATTAATTATGGACATTTGTTGAATGATCAGAGAATCAAGGAACTTGGGAGAGATCGTAGAGAGAAAATCCCTAACCGTAAATATTCTCTCTATGAGTACAAATAGTAACAGAAGGTACCAACACAGAAATTTTTTACACTCTTAAAAGTTAAACTCCAAAATGCCATACTTTTACAAATAAATGCCAAAATGTCATTCTTTTAAAAAAGAATTTTTTTTGGCTGTAGGTAGCCGCCCATTCATTAGGCGGATGTGTGGTAATTTAAAGTGAACCGCCCATTGGAAGGGCGGTAGTGACCAAGACCAAATTTTTCCATTTTTCTGTCTTAATATATATTTTTAAATATTAATATATATAAGTATTAATATATATTATTATCAAAATAGATTAATAATATAAATTTTAATATATGTTAATATTAATAATATTAATATATATTAATATTTATATTAATAATAATATAAGTATTAATATATATTATTATAAATATATCTTAATATATATTTTTAAATATTAATATGTATTATTATTAAAATAGATTATTATCAAAATAGATTAATAATATTAATTTTAATATATATTAATATTACTAATACTAATATATATTAATATTTATGTCATTAATAATATAAGTATTAATAATATTATTATTATTAATATATATTAATATTAATATTATTAATATATTTTAAAATTAATATTATTAATATTTATAATATTAATATACATTAATATTAATAATATTAGTATTTATTAATATATGTATTATGTGACATTATTATTAATATTAATATAAATTTATATATTGAAGACATAATTTATATTGATTGAAATCATTAACTAATACTAATACATGATGATTAATAAAAAGACTAACGACTACTTGTTCCCACATTGGGACACCGGGTGCGATTGTGTCCCGTTTGACGACACATGGAACATTTCCTCTCAAGCTTATCAAAGTTATCCATTTCTGTTGTAATACGTGTGCTTACAGGGCGATCTTTCTTGTTCTTCCGCATTCTTGGGTTATGGCAAATTTGATCTCCTTCATAAACAGGCCAATATTCATCGCATGGCATCACTGGAAAGCTTGCGCTGTAAACCCCAAACAGGTTTGTAACCCTATAAACGTCGGACAAAAGAGAGTAAGCGTCGTGGCGCACATTCGAACATGCAGCGATAACATGTGAGCAAGGGACACGAAATGCTTGAAACATTCCGCAGTCACACCACCCATTCAAGAGGTCGACCTTATAATGTCTCATAGGTTTCCCCTCACCATGGTCCATTGTCTCTTGCACACTGAAAACATTGTTCCTGTAGTCAAAAATTCTGACTTGATGTGTGCTGGATTTTGTTGTTTCTTCTTTCATAACCTTGAGGCAATTGTCTGTAAATGTTTGGCCAGAATTCAACACAGCACTCCACTTTCCACCCCTTTCAGCAAATAAAGATCCTAGTCTATAATACGTTGCCCTTAGCAATGCTGTAATGGGAAAATTACGTGTGCCCTTAAAGACGACATTCATTGACTCGACAAGGTTGGTAGTCATGTGACCCCAACGTCGACCGCCGTCAAATGCCCTTGTCCATTTATCGGCTGGAATACTGTCAATCCACCTTAAAGCATCTGCATTTGCCATGCCAATCTCTGACCGATAGTAATGAAATGTTGGCTGGTTTAAAGCGTATCCTGAATAATTAAAATATCAAATTAAAATATTGACAAAATAATATATGTTATTGACAAAATTTAATGAATATTAAGAAATGTAGTTACCCATGTTAATTATTTTTTTTCGTAGGTTCTTGTCCTTAATTTCTCTCATAAAGTTTTGTGCAATGTGTCGGATACAATAAACATGCACTGAAGGGGGATCGTGCCAACCATTTTCCGCATTGTTGTATGCACTTTCAATTGATGCATGTCGGTCTGAAATTAAACATAGATCTGGTTGTGGGGCGACATGCCTCCTTAAGTTTCTCAGAAAAAAACCCCAGCCTTCAGCGGTTTCACCTTCCACAAGGGCAAAAGCAACCGGAAATATATTGATGTTCCCATCTTGTGCCACTGCGATAAGCAGTGTACCCTTGTACTTACCGTATAACCAGGTTCCATCAATTTGAAGTATAGGTTTGCAATAGGCAAAACCTCTGATGCATGGTTGGAATGCCCAGAATAGCCGGTGGAAGATGTGTTTCCCTTCAACAATAGTTCCGTCAGATGTATGCATGGGTAGTGTTTCTATTTCCAGCACAGCGCCCGGAACATATTTTTTAAGTGCTAACAGAAAATGTGGAAGTTCATTGTACGAGCTCTCCCAGTTACCGTAGACTTGTTCAATTGCCTTATTTCTTGCTATCCATGTCTTTCTGTAAGACAGAGTAAAATTGAATTCGGAAACAATTTTACTTATGCAAACACTAACCTTAATAGAAGGATCTTTGTCTACAAAAGGCATTAATTTTTGAGACATTAACTGCGAGGTTAGTTTTTGATGATCCTGATTAAACAAAGTTGTTGAACAACTATGGGGTGGGTTCATAATGCCTATCTCCCACAACTCACTTCTTTTTCGGTAGGACGCCACGAGACGAAAATTGCAGGAATCATTCCTGCAACAAATTATGTATCTCTTCTTGTCGGAATCTATCACTTTGTAATCCACACAGTGTTTCATGTGGTATTGCTTAATGGCAGCGACACAGTCAGCTTTATTTTTAAATTGGTAACCGACTTCTATGTCACCTTCCGCGGGAAAACGAGGATTCCGTGGCCAATCAAATGACGTTCCTTCTACGCTTAGTGGCAGGGTTGTCATATGCGCTGGTGGGATGAATACATTTTCAACTGGAACACATTGATCATCTATGTTGACTTCGTTCCCTTCCTCAAACAAGGTAGTATATAAATCATCAACTTGTGCCTCGTTTTCTTCTTTGTCGTCTCCTTCTTCAACATCTTCGTGTGAAATTATGGATGGATTGATCACTACAACCACCTTATACCCCAAGCCAACACTACAATCAACCTTACACAACAGTTAATCCAAACCCCTTCAACATCCAACAACAAAACCCAACCTCATCATACCCCCAATATAACAAATTCTCATTCTCTCAACCTACCCAACAAGAACACAACTACCAAACACCCCAACCACAAGTTCCTTTTTACCCTTCACAAAACTTCACCCTAACGCGGCGCCACCTATAAACCCACCAAGTTGGAGTAACGAGGGTACAAGATTAAGTTATGGAAGTGCGGCAGCGATACCATGTGACGACGTTTTCAATGATGATTTGGTCGCTCAATTCATGAACCCTAACAATGATGCAGGTCCATCTACGCAGACCCAAAACGCTGAGGTTGATCGTAGAAGGTCCACCAGAAATGTACAAGCTCCTGCCTGTGGAACCCACCAACGCTTACGTCGACCGGGCCAAAATTAATTAAGGGTGAATAGGAATTTTTAGTTCATTTATTTTTATGTACTATTTTTATTTCAAGAATAAATAAATATTTATTTTAGTTTATTTATTGTATTATATTTCACTGTCGTAATTTATTTTAATTAGTACTATTTTTAAAATAATTATTTCTATTTTTTTTATTTTAATTTACTATAATTATCTATTTAATAATTATTAACTAAATATAATAAACATAATAAACAAAAAATAATGTAATAAATATAATATTATCTATTTAATAATTATTTTATTTTAAAATTTATTATTTATAATTACGTAATTATTTTTTTATTTTAATATTATCTATTTATAATTATTTTAACAATAATTATTTATAATTAACTAAATATAATAAATAAAAAAGAAAATGAAAAAAAATTCTGACCCATTGCCGCCCAATGGATGGGCGGTTCCCATAATAGCATATCACACTGCCGCCCAATGGATGGGCGGTTACGTTGTGCCATAAATTGAATTTTTTTGGAAAGATGGCATTTTGGAATTTATTTGTAAAAGTATGGCATTTTGGGGTTTAACTTCTAAGAGTATGGCAGGAAGGTAAAAAATTCACCAACACAGGAGCTGAATTTTGATGAGTCCTCTATTCCTTCCTTTTGACATTCTTAGGATGATTTCTTCTTTTTAGATTTACACTAAGCATTAATGCATTGCCACTACTTTTCCTTCCACAAATAGTACTATTTTATTATTGTAATTCTCTATCACTTTCTCTTGCATTTATCTTATGTACTAGTGAAAAGTGTTGAGAGATCCATTCAAATTGCTCGTGTTATTTACTGAAAACATTACATTGGTGCTTTCATCCATCACCATGGTAGATACTACTTGTATCAATGGGTTGGAGGTAACCATCCAAAAGCTCAAGACCACAATGCATAAATTCATGAAAGAGAAAGATATACGCCATGTTGAGTACACGATGTCACACACAACTGATGCCTTGCGTATAGGCCGCCTTGAGGAGCAATTGGTTGCACTTCAAGTGAGTTATGCTTCTAATGGTGGTTTAGACTCATTTCCGCAATCTTCGGAGAATCAATCATTTCTGATGCTTACAATAATGACCAATAAATTGCAAGAAGAGATTGATGCTTTTAATTTGCTCGGTGTTGAGGTCTCGACTACACCGTATACTACACTGTTGCCGAGATGATTTTTCAGAAGCATTATGGAACTAAAAACCAGTAAATGCAATTTCTTCACAAATATTAAGTATTTCATCTTGCCCTTTTATAAATGGTAATTAGAACCATTAATAAATACCATCTTCATCTTTGTATTTTACTCCATCATTCAAACATTTAAAATAGACCTTAACCAAGCACTTTGATACTACTATGATGGAAAATTAAGACACAATAAGAGACCAATACGTGAAAAACAAAACCAATATTTTTAACGTGAAAAACTTCTCAATATGAGAGTAAAAACCACGAGTCATTCAGATTAAAGAAATAACTCCAATATAAAAAACGTTGCCTAAAGTGCACTTAAGCAAGAGATTTTAACAAAAAAAAATGTTGCCAAAAATGCACTTAAACCAACGCTTTTAACAAAAAAACGCTTCCTAAAGTTGTTGTTTGTTACTTGCTTACAGACAATTACTTTCCAACCCCGAGCAATATTGGCGCTTGGTTGGGTGATTGCTTTATTTGTGTTTTGCTCCGCCATAAATATCATACAATGTACACACTTTCTCTCAATTCATTGGGAAGCTGCACTACGAGTTGTTCGATTTTTAAAAGGAAATCCTAGACAAGAGATTTTTTGGTAGTAAAAGTGACTTAACACTTCATGGTTGGTGCAATTTAGACTGGGCTAGTTGCTCTTTAACTAGACGATTAGTCACTGGTTAGATAGTGCAGCTCGGTGACTCTCCTTTTTCCTAGAAAACAAAGAAGCAACACACTGTTTCTTGGTCTACTGTTGAGGCTAAATGTCGGTCTATGGAAACAACCACATGCAAGTTAAAATATATCCTTTCTAACATGAGGTTTGCTCATGATAAACTAATGATCATTCATTGCGATAGTCAAGCGGCTATCCACTTTGCCAAAAACCCAATGTTCCATAAACACACAAAGAACAATAAAGTTGACTGTCATTTTTTCAGAATGAAGTGCTCAAAAATAATATTCGACAATTCTATGTTTCTAATGTTTCTACTACCACTCAACTCACAGATATTTTCACAAAAGCATTGGGGAAACCTCATTTTAAATTTCTCTTTGGTAATTTGGGTATTCAAAATCTATTTGCTCCCACTTGAGAGATAGGGTATTAAGCTATATTTAGCAAGTAGCCCCTAACCTTAGAATTAGAAAAATATAATTCTATTTTAATATTTTAGTTATTTATAGTTATATTGTAATTAAGATCATTTATATATCAGTAATTAATTATAGTATCATATGCACAATTTTAAGAAAAATGGTGAATGTCATATTTGTATATGAACAACAGTGCTTTGAGAAATAAAGCATTTGATCCAATTTTTTACATAATTTTGACAATATTATTGGCTGAAAGTTTCGACTAAAAAGAGGCGACACAAAGACTGGCTTGTGGGTCGACAGGTTGGGAAAGATGGTGAAGAAAATAAGGTAAGCCGACGCCGGCAGAAGAGGGTTGTTGGGTCGACTCAGGAAGTTTCGGTCGACAAGGTCGACTGATGGACAAAGAAGCCAACGCAAAGAAGGAAAAAATTCGAGCGGGAAACAGATTTGAAAGATGAGAACGTGAGAGGTTACAAAAGTGGTGGACGAACACGTGGCGCCACCATCTTCAACATGGCAGTTATTTTATTTTCCTATTTAAAGCAATGCCCAGTTTCATTTTAGGGGGCGTATTTTGTAACATTGTGAGGGAAAAACACTCTGATTACCAAGCGTTAACAAAAAAGATTTTTTCATTCTAGCAAAATGTATGACCGCGTCCATTTTTCCTCTTAATAAACAATTTATATCATTAACTTTAAAGTGTCTTGTCTTGTTATTTTTGTATTTTCATGTTTACGCATTCATCTTTATCTAATTTTACAGTATTTTCTTTAAGTGATCTTCAGCCTATTCCAAACAACAGCATTCCACCACTTTCCTATACATTACAAACCAGAGTTCTGGAACTTGTTTGGTTGGTCCCGCAAGTAAGTCTGTGTTATGAGGTCAAAGGTTGTTCGTGCGAAAACTGTGCGCAAACAAATTGGCACACCTGGTGGGACCCAAAGGTTTGGGTGTATGCATTTGTGCAGTGGTAAGATGGTGATACCACGTACTCGATGGGATCCACGCTTATTGTGTTTATCTGACAGGTTGGTTTATCTATCTACCTAAGAGTCTGGTCTGAAAAGAAAAGAAAATGACTCGGCAGAACACAGCAGTTCTATGCCTACGTATTCCCGTCTGGAACGAGAAATCAGAGTCAACGTAGTTCGCCTAACTACAGGTGAAAAGGGGGGAAATGTTGCTCGCCGAGATATCACATCTCGTGCCTACGTACTTTCACACGGCGTGAAAGATCAGAGCAAACGTAGTTCGGGCTAACAAGACCACAAGTTTGGTTCAAAAGTTTTACCTGAGTAGGGTTAACAGACGGTTCTAGCAGTTGGTGTATGCAGCTCGCTCGTTGGAGACTTAGGCGTTTACCGTTTGCGGTAGAACCGAGAGTTAACAAAACTCTCCTTATGAAAATGGTTTCCAAGGATTAGAGGTCCCAAAGGACAAAAAGAAGTTTGATCTTTGTTTTTGAAGTCTTTTAAAGAAGAAGTGTTTTGAGTTTTGTTTGTAACTCGTGTCGCACTAAAGACTTGGACTTAAGAGTGAATGCGTCGCATGTCACCCAAAAAGTACCATACTAAACACTCAAGTTGTTGAAAAGAAACTCTCCAACAACCCTTTCTCAAATGCTTAAGGCTCGTAGTGTACAACACGCGTTAATCTTTATTAAGTGTTTTACAGTTGTTTGAAAATGAGAAGAGAAAGGACGCACTAGAGAGGAACTAATCCAGTCCTAAAGTTGTCATGCAAAGTTGATCCTATGATTGAGGTTAAGA